GGAATTTAGAGTAAACCCTAATTTCCCATAAGATCCGGCTATCTGCGGAACCGCACACAAGCAATCAAGAACACGGCGAGATTAAGTAAAAAGACAATAAAAAGAAAACGAGACTGAGAGCAAGAAGGATCTTATTCCGAATTCGCGTAAGAACGGTACAACAAGAGTAGCCTTAGCTGCGAGAGCCATCGGCGAGATTCCTAGTTCTAGCAACCTAAGATTAAAACCCTAGTTGAGACGCAGCTCGATGATAAAAACAGAAATATTCCTAAATGCTAAGTTTGGTGGTGAAAGCTCTGAAAACCCGTCCTTTCTTCTGTCCTATGCCTTCTGCTTATATACTTCATTTTCACCCAGTTTTGAGTTTATCTGAAATCTTCCATTTATCTCGATCTTTCCATTTTTTGCGGAAATCTTCTATTAATCTTCAAACTTGACATTTATCTTCTTTCTGCGAGTAAATCTTAAAACCGTCTTTGTATCTTTGGGCTGGATTTCATTTAAAGTCGCAAGTGGACTTTTATCGCGCTTTTGGGCTGTCCTGATACGATGCCGTTTTTATAAGATTACTCGAGTTGATCGTATAGTTGACAATGCACGATGTTCTGTCTAATCGTTGCCTTTTTATACGATAACTTTACGAGAAAAGAAGACTTTTATGATTTTTATCGTAAAACTCGAACGATAAGACGGATCGAGACGAAACAAGAGACGTTTCGACAATGATTAAGAGCATGATCAAACCGAAGGACGTATTCCTTGTGTCAAGGACGTGGGAGATCGAGGCTCGGGACGGTCAGCTCGACGTACGGCGAGCCGAACCAGATTGGTTCAGCTCCGTACGGCGAGCTGCATTGAGGCGACCAGGTCGCCGTACGTTGAACTTGGTTCGGTCGAACCTGCTCGCGGTTTACGGCGGATGCGGTTTTTTGCGTTTTTCACTTAACTTGGACAATTGTGTAATTGGCGATTATTTCATTTGTTCTTCCGAGATGACGATCTCCATGTTTTCTGCGGATTTCCTTTGTTCGGAAAATTCTTAGAGTTTTATATAACACCTTCTCGTGTTTTATAAAACGTATTTTTATTTTTGCGTAAATTTTTGGTCATTGATTCCGTCGTATCGATTGTGACCCCAACAATAACCTATCTTAAAGTGATTTACGATATCATGCAAGCGAAGTCAAATCACAAGATAAGGTCATGTGGTAATTGTCAGTAAACAAGATGTTCGGGTCTCCAAAAAAATTTACATATCATCCATTGCTCATAACGGAGCCCAAGGGTCGGAAGAGCGAATGCAGAAGGCCCATCAGCTATGGACGGTCGGGGCACTACACTCTTTTTTGTCAAGGTCGGGACGCTACACATAAGCCCATAAAGCTGCTTCCCTTACCTAAATCCAAAGAAACCAGTAAATATTATCCTAATACATATATATCTTGTGTCCATGTCGACCCAAAAAAATAACCATGCATAAAGCTGACAGGAGACATCAAAATAAATCAGATCTTATATATGATTCTTAAATGCAATGACAAGAGAGATGTAGTTTTTGTGAATAAAATATGAGATATAATGACTAAATTTCATTTTTCACATACATTAAAAGCTTCATATTAGATTTTCATGGTTGTTAGGTGATTTGATGGTAATGGTATTTTTGTAATTAATTTATGAAAATTGAGATGATAGAATAAAACTCTAGTTTCAGACAAAAAATAATAATATTGAATAATCAAAATTTCTGAGATGAATAGGATAAATGAAATATCCAAAAAAGTTAATTTTGTGTTTGATTTGAGGTTTTTGGTTATTTTTGCAAAACTACTGATAGAGGGTAGCTTAATTAAATATACATATACCACATATTATAACTGATATGGGATAGGTTAATTAAATAGATCTTGAAAAATTATAAGTAATTTTTCGAAAAAAAATTATAAGTAATTTTTCGAAAAAAATTATAAGTAATCAAGTACACAATCACTAATATTATAATCGACACACCAAGCTGTATGTATTGCACCCAAAAAAACTGTATGTAATCAAATGTAGATGATAACTTAAGTAAAAAGATATGATAGGGTAGTATAAATTATAAGTAATTTATTCAAAACATAGTTACAAGTAATCAAGTAGACATGTATCACTAATATTATGATCGACACAACAAAGTGTATGTATTGCACCAAAAAACTGTATGTAACCAAATATAAAAGATAGCTTAAGTGAAAATATATGATTTCAGCAATCTTGTGGTCGAGTGGTAAAAAAAAAGTTTTGAAATACCAACACGTTTCAGATTTAAACTATCTGATGTGTGAAACTAAATCACATTATTCTGGACATCTATACGAATACCACGAAAAGAAAATCAATCATTGGGATGCATTTCTCCTTTGAGAGTAATCTTTTCATAAGCCCTGGATATTCTTAGATTATTAAAAAAAGTAAAAATATATGATTAGATTAATAAAAATAAAAATAAAAAGATATGATAACGTAGAATTATATGTTACTGGGTTTTTAGAAATCAAAAATTTAGGAAGATCATTTGTTATTTGATTAGTGATTTTAAAACTTCTAAATAAAGATTGGTTTAGTGAAATTGTAAAAAAAAAATATTTAAACAGGATTAGACTTTCTGCCCTGGGTTTAATTTGTCATGCCCACCTAACCGTACTATATTAATAGATTAGTTGCATATTTGGATGTAAAGTCTCGTAGAATTAGTATTTTTATATATAAAATTTTTGAGATTCCCACCGTAATCAAAAAGGGAAAATTGTATAAATAACCTTTAAAATGATATTTACTATCATTTTAAAATTTGAATTTTTTCACTAGTACTTTAAACTTCAAAGTAATATTTGTGTCACAAAAAACCTTAAATTTGAAAATCTAATATGTTGAACACGTAAAACAAATAATTTGTCAAGTTTTTTTTTTGTGAAAAATAAATATTAAATAAATAAAAGTTTAATAAATAATAATAAAAAATCAACGAAATTTTCAAAAAAAAATTAAAGAAATTTTAGAACATAAAGAAAAATTTATTGAAAAATAGAAATACCAAAAATTAAATAAATTTCTGATTTTTTAAATAAAAATTAAAGAAAATTCACAAAATTGAAAAAAAATCAAATATATATATATATGGATTATAGTATGGGATAGATTATATATATATATATATATATATATATATATATATATATATATATATATATATATATATATATATATATTTAGTTATGCAAGTTGGCCTGTAGATAATTTGTCTTTGCTGGATTGCGCTGTAAATTTAGTGAAATCTACAGCCAATCAGTTATCTTAACAACGACATGAATCACACAATATTTTTTGTTGTTGTGATCATATCTATAGAAATCATGGTTGACTCTTCTTTACGTCTTTACGTAAACCAAAATTTTCGAATCTAAATATTTATAGACTATAGTATGGGATCACAGCGAACAGCCTTATACTTTACGGCTACTCTACGTAGAAATATTAAGTCTTTGACCATTAGGATAGCTTTTACAACTTTTTATAAATAAAACCAGAGATTTTTTTTCCGCGCGTACTTCTTTACGTCTTTACGTAAACCAAAATTGATCGAATCAAAATTTTTTTAGATTATAGTATGGGATCGCAGCGAACAGCCTTATACTTTACGGGTACTCTACGTAGAANCTTTTACAACTTTTTATAAATAAAACCAGAGATTTTTTTTCCGCGCGTACTTCTTTACGTCTTTACGTAAACCAAAATTGATCGAATCAAAATTTTTTTAGATTATAGTATGGGATCGCAGCGAACAGCCTTATACTTTACGGGTACTCTACGTAGAAATATTAAGTCTTTGACCATTAGGATAGCTTTTACAACTTTTAATAAATAATAATAACTAGAGATTTGTTCCGGGTTATGCGCAGATTAGATACTTTAAAGTTATCATAAATTATATACTATGATTTCTATTTTTTTAAATTGTATATTAAACTTTATATTTAAATATGATATAACGACATGTCTTCAACCATTAAAAACTATCCTACTTAAATTTTCATATATTTTTATATTAATTCTAGATTAATATATAATCTAAATTTGATTATATACATTATATAATATATATATATATATATATATATATATTAAAAGTCATATCAAAGTTTAAGTGAAGTCAATATTATTTATAAGTGATAATATATTGCTTTAATTTTTTAAATAATGTAGTGTGTTTTATATTTATCATAAAAATGAAATTTCATAGGTATCATAAATTAGTTTGTGAAATGAGTTACTTTAATTCATGTAAATATATCATTAAAAATTATGAAAATTATATTTAATGGCTAAATAAATAACTGTAGATAATTTTTGACTCTATGAAAAGTAATTCAACAAAAAACAAGATTTTAAACCTAATTTCTTTTGCACTAAACCTAATTTCTAAACTGTAAGCTCTACACCAAACCAAACTAATATGGGTTGATTTTGGTTAAAGTTTTTTTAGACCAAGATAACCCAAACCCAACTGAACTTGTAATAAAACTGTAATGTCCATCCCTAAAAATACCTAATACTAAATTAAGATGATCATTAAACAAATATTAAAAACTATCTAATACCTAATATTAAACATAAACGTTATAAACTTGTAATTTATATAACTTCTCTACAGTATTCGTTGAGACACTATAAACTACCTAATACTAAATTAAGATGTTCATTTATCATAATGGAACTATATAACTTCTATACAAAAAAATACCTAATACTAAATTAAGATGATCATTTATCATAATGGAACTTTGGTTAGTTTATAGGTTCAGATTTTATATAGTATGACGATTATTTTTGTTTAATGATTAATGTGAAATCGTATTGCTCCGATATATTAAAAATAAACATTATAAACTTGTAATTTATATAACTTCTCTACAGTATTCGTTGAGACACTATAAACTGTAAATGTAAGTCTATTCATCCTATTTGTCTTTAGGGATCTCTCTGGAATCAGCAATCACTACTTTATTCCTTGGTTTGCCACTGTAAGTACCAGCTCCACCTTCAATGGCGAACACATAGTCCATCCCTTGTATAACCTTCCCAAACAGTACATGGTTCCCTTCCACCCTATCCACCCTCATTTAAAATGCCAAATCATGAATGAAACTAAGTATTATTATAGAGCAGAACCGTTGGTTCAAATGGGTGTGTTTGTCTTAAACTCAAAGCTCTTGATCCCAATACTATTCGGTTCTATGTAAGAGCATGAGGGTTTATAAATGAGAGGAGAGAGTACCAGCTAGCCTTGACAGTATGATAAAGAACTGTGAGCCATTAGAATCAGGTCTTGTATTAGCCATCGCTACAACACGTACATAACGCACGGATTTGGTTTAGCTACAAGAAGAACACATGAAACTCACTTTCCTAAGTTGGTATAAAAAGTAAAAGTAGGCACCTGCATGTGATTGCTTTACTTTAAAATTTTCATCAGGAAATGTGCCACCATAGATTGACTGACTCACTCCCTTTCCCATCACCATGGATTAAGTCTCTCAAAACATACTAAGATTAAGCAAAGGTTCTATGGAAGACAGAGTTTATGTACCTCCATCTTCTCCATAAGCTCTTTGGCTGCTGGAGCAGAAACCACAATGTTACGTGCACCAGGTTTAATAAAACCTTCTTCAACGCCAGTGTCAAACAAAAGCAAGCAAACTGTTATAGTACCCATCAATATTAAATAGACAAACCTGCAAGAAAAACAAATCCCAAACAAAATCAATATAGGAACTAAAATTCCTCTGCATCATTTTTTGACATAGCAAAAGAAAACTGTTAGAATATACTGTTTTCTTGTGGATACCAAGTTGTGACCATGTTATCATCTCCAGCACCTCCTCCATTGTTCCATAACCTCCTGAAACAAAACAAAAAACCACGGTTTTAGATAAGAAACTAAAACGTTCAGTATGCTTTGGCTCTGTACTCAAGACTTTTTTCTCACCAGTGAGGGCAATGAAGGCCTCAGCTTCTTGTGCCATTGCATCTTTTCGTTCGTGCATGTCTGCAACCACTCTTACATTTCCAACACTCTCACCAGATATCTGGTGAAACCCAAGTCATAAGATATGGTAAAGGCAAACCATTAAATCATCAAATCTAACTATAAACTATTATACATCATTGAAACACATTCATCATTAGATAAACTTCCAAAACTCAGTCCAAGTTTGCTACTTCCTGGAACTACTTGAGATTGTATAAGAAGATACATACCTCAATTGGCATCAAAGCCTTGGGAATGATCCTGCAAGTATATAGAATCCAATCAGAAACCCTTAGATAAGTTTGAAAATGAAAGGAGAATGTAAGAGAATACTCTTAAAAAACACTAACCCGAGCACATGGAAGCCACCTTTATAAACTCTCTTGGAAATAAGACCCATCAAACCAACACTTCCTCCTCCATAAACCAAGTCGATCTTCCTCTTCCCTTGGATTTTCGTAATTTTTCTCCTCCATTGGATGATTTGTACAAAACACTTTTCTTACTCTTTAATCTCTCAGAATAGAAAGCATTAACGGATGCTAAGATAACGGAATCAAGTTTTCTTGCTTGTGAGGTTCCTTTTCTTTCACCTTGGTAATCTGAGCCTTTAGTTCCATTACCAGCCAGAGTCTCTACTCTCTCGTTGAAAAAAATCAATTTCCCTCAGAAGAAATTCAAATTTAGATAAAAACATGTAATCATGATCTTACTCATGTTTAGTGATTCGATTGAACACGGGAGAAAGAAGTTCTGCAGATTCTTGGGTCAGTTGTGTTCTTGAGAATTTCAATAACCTCAGAGTTCTACGACGTTCATCTCCTTCTCTCTCGCCTTATAAATGAAATGAAGAGAAGCTCGTCTTATAGAGCTGCAAACTCACAGCTATGCATCCATATGATGGTGAAAAAGAGAATATCAGAAACAGAGTTTCTTTTTTTTTGTTTAGGGTTTAAATATTTGATTTGTAAAAGTATCTGTACCTTGACTGAGGACTGAGGGAGGGGGGGGGGAGAGCCATGTCAAATAGTGTTAGAAACCTGCAAATTAATGAAAAACAATGTAAGAACAATGAAGAACAATGTTCTTAAATGGGGAATAATTGAGTGTCTCCGAATCGATTTTGATAGATTAGGGTACTTTGTTCATTGCCGAAAGGGGGAAAGGGGAAATCGTGGGCTTCAGAGAAACATATCAAGTCCAACTGACGAAGAATCAAAGCAAATTGATAAAAACAAATCGAAACCCATCGAAGCCCAAATAAGGGTTGCTGACGTGGCCAAAACTTGAACTCCTATTGGTCTATTAAATTTAAGGACATGGCAGCATGGCATGGAAGAGTATTCTCATTTTAGTATTGTATAGATTTTAATAGAAAACAAATTATATGAGCATCAAATCTAATTATGGTCGACGACACGATGACGTATCATTATTTGGTCTTATCTCCTTTTTTTAAATTAGTTATTTTATCATCTATATTACAAAGGTTTTCTCATATATAATTATTTAGTTAAGAAGTAATAACTGAATTTTTAAGAAACAAAAAAAGTTATTCTCTATAAGAAAATTATTAACTAAACTCTATCATGGAGGGTACTATTTCATATAACTTATTATGTAAAACGTGTTTGTAGAGTAACACCGACTTTGACCCTAAAAAGGAATAACACCGACAAGTTGGATGTTTAGTGTAAATTAAACGGTTGCTGATTTTTTTTTTTTTTTTTTGTCATCAACAAATAAAACAAAGATTCCAGTTACGAATGTAGATTTTTTTTTGAGTAGGGGCAAACTTTTTTTGGATATTTTACATGAATGTGTTTTATGTGTTTTAGATCTTTAATAAAGATAACATTTAGAAGACAAAGTAACTAAATATAACAGATAAAATGATGTTTTATAAATGAAAGAAAAAAGAATAAACCCATTAACAAGAAAAAACTGGAACTATCTATTAAAACAAAATTTTAGTGAACGAAAAGAATAAAATGACCACAAAAAGGAAATAAAACGCATATAAAAAAATAAACTATAAAAGTAAAGAAAGGAAAAAAAATATAAAAACAGTTAATTCAAGGGGCAGATGGGGACTCAAAATTGGGTTTAGTGGGGGCAAAGAGAGGGTTTCAGTCAACTTGGCTGCAAGATTTCTGTTAATTCAAGGCAAAAAAATTTACTTGTATTTATTTGTGGGGGCAACTGCACCCATTCTAGACCATCTAGATTCGCCCATGAAAGATTCTATGAGACGCTGTAAACTGAACCGGTAGGTCTGCATCCATATGAATAACGAAAGACAATTATTTTCTAGCATTGCGTGCCAGGTTGCTGATTTTTTTTATCCATATGAACAACGAAAAACGTTTGCGTTCTATCACTGCTTACTAGGTTACTGATTTTATTTTATTTTTATCTTTAACAAATAAAATCTAGAATAACTTACAACAATTTGCTCTACAATACAAAAGATAAATTAAAAAATAGATTTTAACCCATACAACCGTGCATATTTCATTTATATATTTATAGATATTTATTGTATATATATCTATATATTAATGTTAAGCATATGTTTCAGCGTTTATAATTATTTTAAATACAATAATTTTAGATGTTATAATTAATCAATTATTTCAAATCGTTAGATGTATTTGTTGTTTTTATTATATATTTTTGTTGATGAATTTATATTTTTTTTATTGACTGGATGAATATATGCATAAAACAGCATATTTAACATAAAATATATTAATATATCAACTTAATATAATTTTATCCTATATAGTTCAGTATAAAAATTATTTTAATATGATAGATTATGATTATAAAATAAATAAAATAGTATAGCATTTTTATTTTTCAATTTATAAACAATAAGTGAATATATATTAATGTATTATAGTCCAAGGTCCTGCTACAAGTCTAAGGACCCTGCATCCAGCAGACGAACATCAACGCTCACTGAAGCATCAGAAAGTTTATCTCCGTCAGACCCCGCGTCACTAGGAGAGAACTACATCATGGCGTAAGCCCCGCAAGTGAATCTTGTCGTCCACAGAAACACAAGAGCAGGGCCCAAATCTTGCAAGATCGTCTTCGAACAAGTCCAGCACCTAGAAGATCTATCAAGATTCCGGCCTAACATTAGGAAATGAATTTTCCTTAAGGTTCAAACACGGTTCAAGCCTAAGAAGAACCTGGTAAAAGCTGATTACTGGAGTGATGTCTTACCCAAGGGAGGCCTGTTTAGATGAAAAAACTCCGGTTGACTCAAGTGCAGAGGTTATATCTCGACTCCACCCATGAAATCGAAAGATAAGGGGCAATCAATTGAGAGTAAATACTCCAGTATAAAGATCTTCTAAGTCTCGGGCAGGACAGCGTACTCCGAGCTCCCGCTAAGAGAAGCTCCGGCTCTTACCCCTGCATCCATCCCTGCCTCCGGCTGGGAGCATGTTGCATAACATGCAAAGTACTGCGTAAGTAGCTTACACGCTTACTCTTACACATGGAGCATCGTACCAAACGTGCCAATCCCTGCACCAATGCAGGATGCATAAGTACAAACGCGAAGTACTGTATCCAAACTCTGAGTTTGTACAGGGACCAAGCGTACACAGCTGCATATAAGTGGCACATCCATAAAAATAATGCAAAACGAGGAAAATTAGCTGGATCAGGTCCCAAGGGACACTTCGATCCTGGCGAACCCTAAATCTCCATGATACGACTCACATATAAGAAAAACAATGGGTGTATGGCATATAGGAACGGGCCTGATGAACCCTAGTACACTGCCAAAGACACCTCAGTCCCTGCGTAGAGGCTTCGAGCCAAAAACTCACGCAGGGACCACACGTACTAGTGCACCAGTTCTTGCATTGAAAACGCTCCAAGCTAAACACAATGCAGGGGGCATGACGTATAACTGCAGAGTACTGAGATCAGCACCATGATCTCAGGGAGCAGACGGTGCACAAAAACCTATGAGCACTTCTATCTTACTTATCCAGACGTGAAAAGTAGCAAGTTTGGCACATGGATCACTACTTACCAGTAGACCCACACCAGAACCTGATCGATAAGAGTTGCGTTTTCCTAAACCCATGGGACCCTTTCACGGGATTAGTAACTCTTTCACGGGTAGAAGTCACACCAGCACGAGATAAAAGACTGAGAGTGGCTTTTTTGCAAAAAGCAGAGTGCATCATTACAGGATCTCGATAGTGGCCTACTTCCGAGAGGCAGAATGCGAATCCGTACCCGAGATGGGTAGTGGCTTACCTAAGGGGGGCAGAATACGATCTCGAAGAAAACATCTCCGGGTTATAAAGGCCTCCGGGTCCTATAGACACCTCCGGGTTTTATAGAAACCTCTGGGTTAAATAAGACCTCAGGGTCCAAAATACCTCCGGTTTATATCGACACCTCCGGGTTATAAAGGCCTCCGGGTCCTATAGACACCTCCGGGTAATATAGAAACCTCCGGGTTAAATAAGACCTCAGGGTACAAAACACCTCCGGGTTCTATAGACACCTCCGGGTTATATAGAAACCTCCGGGTTAAAATAAGACCTTAGGGTCTAAAACACCTCCGGGTTATATCGACACCTCCGGGTTATAAAGGCCTCTGGGTCCTATAGACACTTCCGAGTTAAAATAAGACCTCAGGGTCCAAAACACCTCCTGGTTATATCGACACCTCCGGGTTATTAAGGCCTCCGGGTCCTATAGACACCTCCATGTTATATAGAAACCTCCCGGTTCAAAACGACCTCAGGGTCTAAAAGCAACCTTCGGGTTCAAAACAACCTCAGGGTCTAAAAAGAAACCTCCGGGTTTAAAAACAACCTTCGGGTTCAAGATCACCTCCGGGTATAAAAGCAACCTTCGGGTTCAAATAATAAACGTCATGGTTTAAATAAAGACCTCAGGGTCCCAAATGTTAAAAACTCCGAGTTTTGCATTTTTTATCGCCTTACCTCTGGGTTCAGACAAAAGACCTCGGGGTATATTTAGAAACCTCAGGGTTCTAGACGAACTGCTTGAATCTCAAGGATCCCAATTCCTAGGTGTCCATCTCCAGGTCCCAAACATTCATTCTCCGAGAATCTGCGCAGGGACCAGGGTTCGAAAGAGCCCTCGAGTTCCTTCAGGACCTCCAGCCTATCATCGGCTCTCAACCCTAACCAAAGGGCCCGAAGATCTTCTTCAAGGATTTCGAATGCTTCAAGACAATACTAGATGGCCTCGACGACGCCTGCATCTGCAGGGCCAACTAGATGAAAGAAAGGCCTCCAAAGACATCCCTCACGATGAGCCTACCTACAAGTAACCTCCGGGTTCAAAATGACCCTCGGGTCCTTGGACGAATGTCCATTTAGTCTGTAGGTCCCT